ATATATATATATACATACACACTAAAAATGAATAGGTTTACTTCCAGGAATCAATCCTAATAAAATAACAGGATTAGCAATCCATAGGGCATGAAAATGTTCATTATACCATTGAGTGTTAGCAACAAAACATTAAAAACAGTCTAAAATGTCTGCCAGGGATTAATTATATTATTCCATATAGTGTACAATTATGTAGCCAGTAAAATGGCTAATTGAAATAAAATTATTTTAATTTATTCATATGTGAAAAAATCAGCTTACAAAGCAGTATTATTTCATCTAGTTTAGCAGATTATATCTATAGGTATCTTTCAGTATAAGAATGAATAGAAAAAATGAATGAAAGATTATTCATACAATGTATGAAAGCTTGCTTGCTTGCTTGCTTGCTTTCTGGTACTAGGGATCAAACTCAGGACCTTGTGCTTGCCAGGCAGGTATGGCACCACTGAGCTACATCCTTGGCCTGATGTACCTGTCTATAATTTTCCTACAGTGACTACTATTGACTTGTTTCAGCCAAATCATAACACTGACTGTAAACAAAGAAACAAACATGAGGCTGTCATTATGCTTTTTTTCTTTAAAATGATCTTTCTTTTTTCTCCCCTCCGCTGAGCCAAGGACCTTTCTCGCATACTGTCTAGGAAGGAAATTTCCATACCTTTCATGTGATTCTAGTAGATTTATTTTGTCAACGCTCTGGCCAAGTACCTCTAGTTCCTTTCTAGAACCTCAGTCCTTACCTCCAATCAGAGGTTCCCCTACTTTGTGTCCTGCCTTCCTGGCTTGCACTTTTTTGCCTTCTCTGCATTCTCTCTGGTAGACGTGGAGGCCAGGATTAAACTTCAGAACAGTTAACATGTTTTTGGCACATGCAGCCACCTGGCTTATTTCTGTCTCCATGAGCAGGACTTCCAGTCCCTCCACCCGACGTGATTTTTTGGTTGAAGAGAGGGAACGAGCCATGGATAGAGGGTCTTCCAGGATCTGAGGAGAGAGAATGTCCACAGAGTATCTCTTTAGGTAACTGAGTATGAATGAAGTGGGACAGAGTTTTATTTTGTGTTTGTCTTGAGGTATGGGGGCAGGGAGGAAACATGGGGTGCTACCTTTCGTTTGAGTGCTTGTTTTATATCACCCATCAGTTTGCACTGTTCTTCTCTATGCCTTGAAGTATTTGCCTGCATTCACCATATCTGTCGTATTGCCCACTCACACTCTGATATCCCTACTGGTTGCCATCCTTTCCTCTCAGCTTCCTCTCCTAATTGTCCTGTCTGCTGAGATGTCTGCCATCAGATCTCTTTGCTGTCCTCTTCATCCTCATGACATGTGCCTTTCCTAGACTTTGTGGAAGCAAGCAGTGCTATGACCGTACATTACTTTTGGACTCATCATGGTGTCTCTTCTTGCCAGTGTAACATCTCCTAACCCAGAGAACAAACTGCATTTTTTTGTTTGTTTGTTTGTTTGTTTGTTCCAGACTGGGAGACCAAGCTGAAGACTCAAGATGCCTCCAAAGAAGAAAATCCAGAAGAAACACTGAGGCAGAGCCTCAGCAGGCAAAGTCTTCTGTGCCCCAAACTTAAAGTTCAAGCACCAGAGGGAGGGTTGAGGGCAGAGAAAGAAAGCCCTGTAGTAGGGACTTGCAAGAAGCCCCCTTCCCAAGACAAAAGTCTGCATCAAGGATCAGCCCCATCCCGGAAAATCCTCCCTAAAGAGAGAGATCAGGAGTGCAGTGACTGTGGGAAGACCTTTTTTGACCACTCTTCACTCATCCGCCATCAGAGGACACACACTGGGGAAAAGCCCTATGACTGTCACGAGTGCGGGAAGGCCTTCAGCCACAGGAGCAGCTTGAGCCGACACCTGATGTCACACACTGGGGAGAGCCCCTACGAGTGTGGAGTATGTGGCAAAGCCTTCTTTGACAGATCTTCCCTAACTGTGCACCAGCGCATCCACACGGGAGAGAAGCCCTTCAAATGCAGTGAGTGTGGGAAAGCCTTCTTCGACCGATCGTCCCTCACTCGGCACCAGAGAATCCACACTGGAGAGAGTCCTTATGAGTGCCATCAGTGTGGGAAGGCCTTTAGCCAGAAGAGCATTCTCACGCGCCACCAGCTCATTCACACAGGCAGGAAGCCATATGAATGCAGCGAGTGTGGGAAAGCCTTCTATGGAGTCTCATCACTCAACAGACATCAGAAAGCTCATGCAGGGGAGCCTCACTACCAGTGTAATGAGTGCAGCAAAGCCTTCTTTGACCGGTCATCCCTCACACAGCACCAGAAGATCCATACAGGCGACAAGCCATATGAGTGTACTGAGTGTGGCAAGGCCTTCAGCCAGAGGTGCCGACTCACGCGGCACCAGAGAGTTCACACGGGGGAGAAGCCCTTTGAATGCAGTGTATGTGGGAAAGTTTTCAGCTCAAAATCCTCGGTCATTCAACATCAGCGGCGTTATGCCAAACAGGGGATAGACTGAGTTGGGTGGGAGCTTTAGTCAGACCAAGGACCTTTGTACAGACTTAAGACAGGTCTCCCCTGTGCTACCCAAGCCCAGCATTTGTTCATTCCACCCACTCTGGCTCCAATCCTGTCTGGCCTCTGCTCCACAGTGTTTGAATAAACACTCTCTACCTGCTATGTTGTAGAACTGACGTGGGGTATGAAGGTAGGAAATGACTCTACAGAATCAAATACTTGGGGAAGGGCTGGAGATGTAGCTCAGTGGTACAGCACTTGTCTAGCATGTGCAAAGCCCTGGGTTTAATCACCAGCATTGCAAAAAAAATTTTTGGCAAGGTTATCAGAAATAGATATTAGGAGGAAATCCTCAGAGATATCTCTTGTTAGAACCTTGGCTCCAGTTATCACTGCACTTTAAACAACTGGAGGCTACGATGGGGGGAAAGGCACAGTTATACCAGAGAAGCTGTTCTTTACACTTAAGTTTTTCTAGTTGTTAGTCCCTCTCTCAGAGCTTTTCTGGGCACTGACCATGTTCTTGTGTGTCCCAGCTTTCAGATTTCTTAATATTTCTAATAGTCACTAGCACTTATTGAGCACTTATTGTGGGGTAAACACTCAGCTAAGAGTTTTACAAGGACAAGATTGATCCATCTTCTCATCAGCTCAGTGAAATAGGTGCTGTTGCTATCTTTACTCTACAGATGAGCACACTGAAGTTTAGAGAGGTTGAGTAACTTGCCCAAGGTGACACAGTAGTAAAAGGTGAAACCAGGTCTTGAATTACTCTCTTTCAAAGTCTATTCTCTTTACCATCATGCTGTAAGTTTTTTATATATATATATAATTTATGTGCATGCATTACCTTCTCAGATTGTAACCACTTGGAAGTGTGACTTATAGGACTTTGTGTCTCACACAGTGCCTTGCAAATAGTGCTCAATAAATATTTATCTGAATGAATGCCAAGTTCTCATCATTCAAAATACCCCTTTCATTCATGTCCTTTCTCTGAATTTTCACAGCTCTACCCAAAGCTTTATCATCCTAGACCCATGGAGGTAATAGTCACTTCCTAATTCTAGTTGTTTCTTCCTTGCAGAAAAGGGATATGCTAAGCTATGGTGCAGTGACAAGGAAGCCCCCAAATAAAGATCTGTGCCTCACATCCAGTCTGATGTGAGTCGTCTGTCTCATTCCATCCTTATCATTTAAAATATCTGGCATCCAGAGTCACTATGAAGAAGGAAAGAGAGCTAGAGGAATTGACGGGATACTTTTAAGAGCCAGTCTTATCTCTTTTACTCACGTCTTATAAGCCAAAATCCAGCACCTGGAGACTAGGAACAGAAACAGGCATCTCAATGTTTGGTTAACACCAAGATCCATCTGTTAGACTCTGCATGTTGCTCTTGGGTCAGTCTTTTCACATGACTCCCTTCTTGCTTATTGCCTTGAACTCAGGACCTGAAAAAGCTCCCTATTTAATGCAAATTTCTCTGAATACTTAGGATCTGCTTTAATGCGAGTCCCATTACCAAAAACTTCACATCCTGATTCCCAAAATGATTCTATTTCCTGGTCCTAGCCCGATAACTTTTGTTTTTTGTTTTTTTTTAAGTGTCAGGCACCTTGACTCTAGAGGAGAAGGTTGCACTGGGATACGAATTGGAAGAACTGCAGTTGTAGTTCCACACATGGAGCCACAACTCAGAAGTTCAAGGCTGCAAACAGTCCTGAGAGCAATCCGCTAACATTCTGGGAGCAGTCTGTTTTGAGAAAGTATATGAATAGCTAGAACCAGGTGTTCATAAAAAATATTTTCTAATGCTTTCCTAGAGATAATCTGTAAGGAACTGTTTATTCTCATGGAAGTATTGTGCATGTATCTAATAAAAACTGAGGTTGGTGAGAGTTGGCTGCTGTTTGCCTGTGAGAGCTTCAGCCCTCTACTCCTAGGCAAAACTACGTTCCTGCTGTCTGGCTGTCCTTCCAGTCCCCGACAACAAGTGACGCCCGAACAGAGATCTGAAGGGTAAATCTCAAAAAGACGGGAAACCAAAAGGGAAAAGAAAGTATGTTCAGAAGAAAACAAAACTTTCAGGAATTTCAAGGGGAACTTTGCATCCACCAAGACTCAATATATCAAATTACTTCGCAATCTGCTGAAAAGTACAGGGGTGAAGGTGAAGAGTTCCCAATTCAGGGAGCTATTCTCGGTGGTAAGAAAACATTGTTATTGGTTTCACTCCAGTGCTAAAACTCAGTTAAATTTGAAAGTGTGGGAAACAATTCATTCGTGCTCATCAGGCTGGGGATACAATTCCAGTATCAGTCTGTCACTTGTAATTTGATATCCATAGCTCTCCAGCCTTTGCAGTCTGAATTGGAATCCTACGGTATAGATTATGAGCACCCAAATCAGATACTGCATCAAGGGTATGAATGTGTGGATGATGTGTTATCCAGACCTCTTTCCCCTTTGCCAAAACGGACTCCTACTTGCTCAGGAGATAAAGATGAAAAGACAGGAGACTGTGAATTTGGTAAACAATCCAAGGAGCTATCTTCAACTGAAAGTAAAAATGAGGATGTAAACACTGAAGGATCGGATTCTGAGCCTTACATGAAGGATTATAAAATCCTGATGGCTCAGGTTCAGTAGGTAGCTGAGAAGGTACATAAATTAACTTTCCAAACTGGAGGAGGAAATGTGAAGAAACAAGAAACAGAAACTCCGACTATTTGTAATCCTCATATAAAGAAAGCTTTGAGCCTTCGGCCCCGCCCTCTCCTTTCTTTTCTCTGCCAGGGGCACACGTTGGCCCCATAGCACTTCAAAGGCCCCTAGTACAGCTTGGAGGATCTTTTGGGAAAAAGTTCCTTTTGGATTTTGATAAAGATTGCTTGCATGATAATTCTTATGATCATTTAGTTTTTTTGGATTTCCTATACTTCGACAAAATATGCCAGCTAATGCTCAATATCCCCAAGGTTATGTCCAAATTGATCATCATAATGTGGAATATAAGGTTTTAAAGGCTTTTAAGGAAGCTGTTAGTTCTTATGGTATGCATTCAACTTATGTGACTGGACTTCTTAATAACTTTGCAACTGAAAATCAGTTAATACCCATGGATTGGGAGACTTTCACAAAAACAATTCTAGAGGCAGGGGAGTATCTGCAATTTAAAACTTGGTGGAGGGAAGAAGCTGAACAAATGGCTCATGTCAATGCACAGCATAATCCACCAGGCCCTACGGTAGATCATTTAACAGGGCAAGGTGCAGCAGCTGTGCTAGCAGCTCCAGCAGGTCTTGATGATGTTGCTATAGTTCAAATTAGTTTATGCTGCATGTGGGCAAGGAATAGAGTTGAGCACCCTGTCTGGAGTGCCTAGTCATTCACTAAAATCATGCAAAGCCCTAGGAAACCTTATACTGACTTTTTTATCCCGACTTTGAACTGCTATTACTAGAGCTATTACACAACCAGATGTTCAAGAGCTTTTATTACAGGCCCTATCTTATGAAAATGCTAATGCAGAAAGCCAAAAGGTTGTACACCCTTTAAGGGCACAGAGAGCACCATTGGAGGAGTATATTAAGGCTTGCCATGATGTTAACTCCCCTACTTATCATGCTAATCTTTTAGCTACTTCCCAAAAAATGGAATGAAAGAAGCACAGACTAAATGTTATAATTGTGGAAAATTAGGACATATGAGAAAGGACTGTCATAAGGGAGCTAAAGGGAATAATGCCATAGTACATATACTTCCTAAGGGTCAGCCTTCTGGACTTTATCATTGAGGCCAGAAAGGCTATCACTGGACTAATGAATATCATTCAAAAAGAGATAAAGAAGGAAATTTATTGTCGGGAAACTGGAGACAGGGCCTACCTTGGGGCCCAGAGAAAAACAGTACGGTCTCTGTTGTGGGAGAGTTCAAGCCTGGCTGGGCCAGGCGCACCACACTCGTGTCTTCTGAGCAAACCTGAAGACCTCTCTGAGGCTAAGCTAACTCGCCTAAGTGTGTAAAGGCTGGCTCTAACAGGCTGTACCTCCACCCCTAGTCTGTGATTCCTTCACCTCACCCAAGAAAAATCACCCCACCATATGTCCAGCCAATAAGATATCACCCAATGCTCTCCACTACTACATAACCTATAAGAAAGTGCCATGTAATCCAATGCTCCTCCCCCTTGGTTGTCCACACATAAGCTATATAAGCCTGTGCATTTCCTAAATAAAGCAGAAGTGTTCCAGAAACCTCCCCGGAGTCTGCCTGGTGATTCTGCACCTTACCCTCCCAGTCTGAGCTCCCGAACTGAACTCTGCAGACCAAACAGAGGATGACAACACCCTGTGAGTACAGGGGAGGCACATCAGAAGATGATCTTAGATGTGCCTGAAGCAAGGTCAGTGATTTAGTACATGCAACCAAGGGAAATGCTGCCCTCAATATTGCTGATCCAAAGGATTTTATTTTAACCCCCACATGAGGAATATATACTCTAGGCACTAAGATCTATAGACCGATTCCTCCTAATGCTGTAGGATTATTATTGGGAAGAAGTAGTTAAACATCTAGAGACATCTTTGTTCATACTGAAGTCATTGATGAGGATTAGCAGGGAGAAATTAAGATAATGATGAGTTCTAAGCCAACAATTACTTTAAATAAAGGGCAATGTATAGCACAGCTTCTCATTACCATATATAAAAGGTAAAGCAACTCCAGTAAAGAGAGAAGGTGGGTTTGGAAGTACCAGAAAGCAAGCATTTTGGCAAGCTTTAATCAATGATGAAAGACCTAAGTTTACTGTCAGAATAAAGGATAAACAAATAGAGGGTGTATTGGATATGGGGGCCGATGTATCTATTATGTATTGCATGCAATGGCCTCCTGAATGGCCTCTTCAAAAGGTACAGGCTCATTTTACAGGGATGGGTACTTTAACTGAAGTCTATCAAAGTCAAGAAACCCTCACTTTTATTGAGCCTGAAGGACAAAAAGGTAAATTTTGACCATATGTGGCCAATATTGTTCTTAATTTATGGGGCAGAGATTTATTACAACAATGGGGACAACACTACATATACCAAGTCTTTCTCAACAAGCAAAATATATTGTGACAAGTATGGGTTATAATCCATTTAAAAGTCTTGGGAAAAATGAGACTGGACCAATTAGTTTTTGTGCTCCTGATTCTAATGAATCTCATAAAGGATTAGGATATCCAAATTTATCTTAGGGGACACTGAACAGCACTTTGCTCTGCCTTTAAAATGGTTGAAGGAGATCCCTGTGTGGGTAGAACAGTGGCCCCTTACAAAAGAAAAACTAGAAGCGCTGGAAAATTTGGTACAAAAATAATTAGATGCAGGGCACATTGAACCCTCTACCAGTCCATGGGATTTTCTTGTGTTTGTGATTTAAAAAAAAAAGTGGTAAATGGAAAATGCTTACAAACCTTAGAAAAATCAATGAGATAATACAGCCTATGGGACCTTTACAGTTGGGAGTACCTACACCCACATTAATTCCCAAGGAGTGGCCTATCATTGTGGATCTTAAGGACTGCTTTTTCACTCTCCCTTTACAACCTCAAGATCGGGAGAAATTTGCTTTTACTGTCCCCACTTATAATAATAGTCGGCCTGTTCGTAGGTATCAATGGAAAGTATTGCCACAGGAATGTTAAATAGTCCCACATTGTGTCAGCATTTTGTAGATCAGCCTTTATCTTCCATTCATAAATGATATCCTCAAAGCTTTATATTTCATTATATGGATGATATTCTCTTTTCTCATTCTAATCCTGAGACTTTACAACAAATATTTAGAGAAGGAATATGAGAATTAGAATTATATGGACTTCAGGGAGCACCAGAAAAAATACAAACAGAACCACCTATGAAATATTTAGGTCAAATTATTGAACAGACTACAATCATTCCCCAGAAAGTTGAACTCAAAAAAGATACTCTTAAGACACTTAATGATCATCAAAAATTATTAGGCAATATTAATTGGCTTCTTTCTGCTTTGGGAATTCCAACATATGCTTTGACTAATCTTTTCCAAATCTTAGAAGGACCCTCAGATTTGAAGAGTCCTAGAGCTCTTATTAGAGCAGCTAAAAAGAAATTGGCTTGGATTTAAAAAACATATAAAAAATGCCTCTCTTCAGAAAATTGAAACTTTACAAGATCTTAAATTGTTAGTTTCCCACACTCCATATTCTCCCACTGGGCTAATCCAGCAGAATATTATTATTAAATGGGTTTTTCTTCCATATAAGGTGTAAAAAAAATTGAAAATATTTTTTTAAAAGTTGTAAATTAATTCATCGGGGTCATTTACATCTTCGTCAATTAACAGGGTATGATCCACAAAAAATAACCGTTCCTTTTATTGCAAAACAAATAAAAAATTGTTTCAACTTACTGATGATTGGCAAAGAGCCATGGCTCATTTCCTTGGTAAAATTCATAACTCATATCCCAAAGATAAATGTACTCAATTTTCAAAATGAACTCAGTGGATTTTGAGTAAAATCATAGTGAAACATCCTGTCCAAGGCCCTACTTTTTAAACAGATGCCAATAAACAAGGATTGGCCAGTTATGCTAGTGATATTGATACACAGGTTGTACAAACTCTCTATCATTCTGTTTAACAAACTGAATTATTTGCTATTATTTTATTATTAACACATCAT